CCAGCCACCACACTGTGAATGGGGGAGTTAAAAATCGGGGCCACTTAAATTCTCCATTAGCTTCCGGCTTTTAAAAAGAGAGAAGAGTTGTATTGGGGCGATTTGGGGCCCACAGAGTTTTTAGGCCACAGATCTTTACTAGGGACACAGAATCGTTACTCAGGGTCACAGAATTGTTATCAGGGACAAGATTGTTATCAGGACAAGAACGTTCTCGGGACCCCAAACCCCTTTTACTTTCCCGGGACAGACCCCCGAATCGTTACTCAGGGAAAAGAATCTTTTACTCGGGACACAGAATGTTACTAGGACACAGAATCGTTACCGGGGGACCCCAGAACGTTTCCGGGGACACAAAATCTTACTCGGGGAAACAAATGTTACCCCGGGAAAGAACGTTACTTTCTGTTTCAAAACCCACTATTGTACGTTAAAAGATTAAATCCTGTTTTTTTTTTTGGGGTGCATTTAAAAATTAAAGAGTTTCCACCCCGAGGGGGGGCCGAGGGGCAATGTTTCGGGGAGGGAGCAACGGGGCGCGGGGGAAGGGGTCGAGGCAGCACTATCGAGCCAAGGCCAGGTCCGGGTGTCCCCCACGGGTGTCTCCCCCCAACCCCCTTCCGAAAAGGGTTTTTCTCTCTTTTTCCCCTTTTCCCGGGTCCCTCTGACCCCTACACCCCAACGGTCGGGGGGGTCGTCAGACCAACCGTTAGTTGGCAGGCCCCGGGGAGCAACCCCACAAAATCAGTGCCTCGACCTGCCCCCCTTTTGGGTTCCCTACCAACGAAGTATGCATGCTGTGGGCTCCCCCCATTTCCATGGGAAGAGCAAACCAGGGGGCGGTCGGAACGGGGGGGAGACACCCGCCTCTTCAGACCTCGAAGAATTTCTGGCGAGGAGAGGCTGGGTAGCCGGTTAGAGCAGGTCTTCCCCTGCCCCCCACCACCCGAGGGGGCTATAGTGCCGGGGGGGCCCCTTTTTTAAAAGATAGGGATCGCACTTGGCACCTCTCGTCACCAGGTTTTATTGTTTTCCCCGAAACATCAGGAAGATCCCAGTTGGGGCCCCGACAAAACTCGTTTTTGGGGAAGCACAGGGTCGCAGCATTTCGGGAGGCAAACGGCCCGGATAAAAACCGCTCCACGCGCCACCACCCACGGCCAGTAGGGGGTGCCGGTGTCACGGGGGTACCCCGTGAGGGGTAGGGGGGGCAAAAGTTTCCCTTCCGGTGTGGAAAATTTTTCGCAAGCCGCCCGAGGAATTTTAAACGACCCCGTATGCGACTTTGTGGCCAAAAAAAGGGGCCAGGGGCCCTGTTGGGAAACTACGGGTTGCGTCACATATGCACATCGCCTTTTTTCGGGGGCCTGGAAAACCGGTAAAGATACGGCGGTTTTCGGGCCCCCCCACCCCCCGTCCATCCCCCCTCCGTTACTTCCCCCCCCACTCAATGCCCTCAAACACCCCGTCAAGGCTCCAACCCTCTGCTGGGGGGAGTTGTCGCTCTTTGGCCCTTTTCCGCCGTTCGATGCCCTTCTCCGCTATCCTCTTCACGGATTCCGTCGCAGTCTTTTTTGGAACCTTTTTCCAAAGACAAACATTTTGCGACACGCACCCCGACGTGCAGAAGCTCCGTACCCCCGTCCCAAAGCTTGCGAGCCCCCCTTTCCCAAGTGGTGAACTCAGCCCTTTCCGAGAAATGTGGCTTGTGCCGAGCCGCGGGGAGGTTTCCCAAAGCCGGGCTTTCTTCCCAAAAAGGCATGCCACCCCTGCATTCCATGTAGAAAAAATGGGGGGCCAGTTTTTTGAGCATTCGGTCTCTCCCAAGGGCACGGAAAGGCCGACGTGTGGAGCGAATACGGTCAGGGACAGTCCCTGTCTTTTAACGGCCCATGGGTAACGTGGTGCCGGCACACCGACCAGAAACTTACAGGTCCCCCCTTTTGCCCCACGTTTGCACTCCTTGGGTCCAGCAAAGATGTCCCCTTACCACCATTTCTTCCCCCGTGTCCTCACCGCCCCCCCCCGGCCCCCAAGCCCCATTACCTGAGGGGAAAAAAGGGGGGGGAAATTACGTCGGGGGCCACGTGTCCACGCTTGCTGCACCTGTATCTTGGCGAACGTAGTCCCGGGGGGAGGAATTCTGAGTTTAAGAACAAAAAACAGATGGCGTCTCCCCCAAATGAAAATCGGAACCATTTTGACCGACAAAGGGGAAAAAACGGGTGTTCTCTGAGTAAAGGAAGGTTTTGCCATGCGCCATGCATGGTCACTTTAAATCGGTTGTCAAGGGGTTTTCCTAAAATCCACCTCCCCCTGCAAGACATCCAAAAAAGTCACGTAAAACTTTGCTCATTTCAGCCTTTCCTCACCGCAAAGCCACCCTCCTTCCTGCACGCAGAACGGAATTTCCACGCACGCCTGTTTTCCCGACTTTTGCAACAAGGGGGAAATTCCCCCCTACATATGTTAGACCCCCTTTACAACAGCGAAAACCAAACACCGATTTCCTTTTGTTAAAACCCGTAAGGTACTCCCCTGTGTAACTTTTTCCCCCTTGGCGCTCATCGGGACACCTCCCGCTTGTCAGGCCCTTTGAGGGGGCCCACCTATTCTGAGTGGGCAGGATATGGGTGAAGAGTCATTCCTCTTTCACGTCCGGAACCAAATTGTTAACAATGGCTGTAGGGGCGGTAGACGGGGCACAATCTAAACGCCCAGCCTTGGGGGGCCCGGACAGAAAAGGGAGGAGTAGAGAGAAAATTGGTGCTCGGAATTATTGAGTGAAATGGGTGGTTTTTCCACCAGCGGACAGGGGGGGAGGGGGAGCAGGGTAGGGAGGGGGGGGGAACAGGGGGACCCAATCAGTGGCAGTATGGTGGAGAGGGCAGGGAGTCCCTCGCTTTCCCTTTGGCACAATCCCCATAGCATGCTCGGTTGTTGGTGCGACACCCGAATAAAAACCATAGACAAAAGGATACTTTTGGTTCCCCACCTTGTTGAAAAAAAAAAAAACCCCTAAACCAAAAAAAACAAAAAAAAATAGTTTGGGTCTCTGCCTTTCTGCGCCAAGTCCATCCTCAGACACTGTGGGGCCCCGTGCTCTGCGTTCCGCTGCCATGGAGCAGGGGAGGGGTGGGGTGGTGGGCATGGGAGCCCCCACACGGCTGCCTCAGCTGCATCGATGTATGCTTTTTCACAGCGCAAATGGGGAAAACACTAAACCGCCGCAGCACGCCCGCGCAGCATAGGGGACCGGAGCAGGACCTCAAAACAACAGGCTCCAGTCCTACTTGGACAGCACACTGCCAACAGAGGTAGAACAATCCCCTTGACTACTGGGCAACGAAGACTTGGACCTTTGGCCCCAAACTAGCTGAATTTGCCCTTGAAAGGTCTGTCATGCCGGCCAGTAGAGTTTGGCATTCGGAGCGCGTGTGTTCAGTGCAGCGGAGGTATTGTAACTCCGCGGAGGACACGACTGTCCACACCCAAAGTGTGGAGAGACTCACGTTTGTGAAAATGAATCAGGCGTGGATTAGTCTGGATTTCAAACCACCAGTTTCCTGACACAACTGACTAAATCCGCCATGAATCATGCCCCAAACACTAATAGTCGTCTCCCACGCTGCTGCTGGGGGACTTTTTTTAACATAGGCCTCTGTATGGCCTTCAATTTAAGCTGCTTACGCTCTCGCCACTCTGCCATGGGCCTTATGTACCCGCCCTCCTCTTGCTGCTGCCACTAGTGCTCCAGAGTGTGTCATGGGTCCCTGTACGGCTCCCATTGCTGCTGACGTCCATCGCCAGACTCTGCCATGTGCCACTTTCAGGTCTCCTTACACTGTTGTGGGGGTTCCATTTTTGTGATAGGGTGCTGTATGGCCTTCCATTGCTGCTGTCTCCACCGCCATCCCCTGCGCCATGTGCCTCTGTCGTCTGCTCATGCTTAGCGGACGGCTTCCGCTTTTAACCGAGGTTCTGTGTTTGGGCTTCCGAATAGTCCGTCGACTATCAAGAGTCCAATGCAGAGTGGCGGAGCAGAAGCAGCTTCAATTGAAGGCCATACACAGGCCTAGCGTTTAAAAGTCCCTTCAACAGTTTTAATTCATAACGAACTCTACTTCCTCCGTGCAATCTACTTACGAGCACCCTGGGCAGGTCTGGGTCCAATTTGTGGTAGAGACTGGTTTTGTTCAGCCATGCTTGAGCGAGTAATAAACAGGTCTGTTGCTGCCCTTGGTTGTCTGGCTTAATGCGCACAACACTGAACTCCCAGCGTTTGTCAACGATTTGCCGTTTAAGTGATGCAAACCCGCTGAACCACGTTCATGAGGAGCCGGTACAGGGGGCCATGAATCAGTATGGACCTGGCAAGCAGCGTGAGCAGACGACAGAGGCACATGGCGCAGGGTGGCGGTGTAGGCAGCATTATTCTGAAGCCATACACAGCCTAGGTTAAAAAGCAGGGGCGGGAAGCCGGGGTCAAAAAGCAGCGTGAGCAGACGACAGAGACACATGGCGCAGGGTGGCGGTGGATGCAGCAGTATTCGGAAGCCAAACACAGGCCCTCGGTTAAAAAGCGGAGCCGTCAGCAGCGTGAGCAGACGACAGAGGCACATGGCGCAGGGTGGCGGAGGAGGCAGCAGCAATGGAAGGCCATACAGCACCCTATCACAAAATGGAACCACCAACAGTGTAAGGAGATCCTGAAGAGAGTCTGGCGATTAAAGTCAGCAGCATGGGAGGCCGTACAGGGACCCATGACACACTCTGGACCTGGCAGCAGCAAGAGGAGGCGGTACAGGGGCCCCATGGCAGAGTGGCGAAGCGTAAGCAGCTTAAATTGAAGGCCATACAGAGCCTATGTTAAAAAGTCCCCCCAGCAGCAGCGTGGGGAGATGACTAATAGTCGTCTCCCCACGCTGCTGCTGGGGGGACTTTTAACATAGGCCTCTGTATGGCCTTCAATTTTAGCTGCTTACGCTCGCCGCTCTGCCATGGGCCCCTGTACCGCCTCCTCAATGCTGCTGCCAGGCCCGTAATCTGCCATGGGCCCCCGTACCGACTCCTCATGCTGCTGCCAGGCCCGTAATCTGTCATGGGCCCCTGTACCGCCTCCTCATGCTGCTGCCAGGTCCAGAGTGTGTACGGCCCTCCCATTGCTCTGCTGTCCTCCATCGCCACACTCTGCCATGTGCCACTTTCAGGTCTCCTCACACTGCTGGTGGGTTCCATTTTGTCATAGGGTGCTGTATGCCTCCCATTGCTGCTGCCTCCACCGCACCCAGCGCCATGTGCCTGTCGTCTGCTCACGCTGCTGACGGCTTCCGCTTTTTAACCGAGGCCTGTGTGTTTGGCTTCCGAATACTGCTGCATCCACCGCCACCCTGCGCCATGTGCCTCTGTCGTCTGCTCACTGGCTTGCTGACAGCTTCCGACTTTTAACCTAGTCCTGTGTATGTCTTCCGAATACTGCTGCCTCCACCGCCACCCTGCGCCATGTGCCCACTTTCAGGTCTCCTTACACTGTTGGTGGGTTGCCATTTTGGTGATAGGGTGCTGTATGCCTTCCACATTGCTGCTGCCCCTCCCCTGCCACCCTGCGCCATGTGCCTCTGGTCGTCGCTGCTCACGCTGCTGACGGCTTTCCAAGCGTTTTTAACCGAGGCCTGTGTTTGGCATCCGAATACTGCCTGCATCCACCGCCACCCTGCGCCATGGTGTCCTCTGTCGTCTGCTCACGCTGCTGACCGGCTTCGCGCTTTTTAAACCTAGGCCTGTGTATGGCTTCCGAATACTGCTGCCTCCACCGCCACTGCGCCATGTGTCTCTGTCGTCTGCACACGCTGCTGACGGCTTCCGCTTTTTACCTAGGCCTGTGTATGGCTTCCGAATACTGCTGCCTCCACCTTGCCACCCTGCGCCATGTGCCTCTGTCGTCTGCTCTACGCTTGCTGACGCGGCTTCCGCTTTTTAAACTAGTCCTGTGTATGTCTTCCGAATACTGCTGCCTCCACCGCCACCCTGCCATGTGCCACTTTCAGGTCTCTTACACTGTTGGTGGGTTCCATTTTGTGATAGGGTGCTGTATGGCCTTCCATTGCTGCTGCCTCCACCGCCACCCTGCGCCATGTGCCTCTGTCGTCTGCTCACGCTGCTGACGGCTTTCCGCTTTTTAACCGACGGCCTGTGTTTGGCTTCCGAATACTGCTGCATCCACATGCCACCCCTGCGGCATGTGTCTCTGTTGTCCTGCTCACGCTGCTGACGGCTTCCGCTTTTAACCTAGGTCCTGTGTAATGGCTTCCGAATACTGCTGCCTCCACCAACCACCCTGCGCCATGTGCCTCTGTCGTCTGCTCACGCTGCTGACGGCTTTGCTTTTAATAACGAGGCCTGTGTTTGGCTTCCGAATACTTGCTGCATCCCACCGACCGCCCACTGCTGCTGCCAGGCCCGTAATCTGTCATGGCCCCTGTACCGCCTCCTCATGCTGCTGCCAGGTCCAGAGTGTGTCATGGGTCCCTGTACGGCCTCCCATTGCTGCTGTCTCCATCGCCAGACTCTGCCATGTGCCACTTTCAGGTCTCCTCACACTGTGGTGGGTTCCATTTTGTCATAAGGTGCTGTATGGCCTCCCAATTGCTGCTGCCTCCACCGCCACACTGTGGCTCACACTCTGGTTTTGGCCCCGTGACTGCCCAAATGAGTGAAGTGTGCGGTGATTTCTAAGATCGACGGCACTCATTCTGCATGTCATACTGACTGACAGTATTAGTTCTCTTCCCCAGCAGACTCCAAGGGCATTTAAATTAAAGGTACAGTGTTCTGCACTAATATAAAGGCTCTCTGAAGCCTAGAAACACCTTTTTTATAAGTTAAATTCGCAGCGAATATATTCGCCTCGAATCAAATTTAAATCCGCGAATTCGGCGAATCAGCCGAATCTAATTTTTGAATAATTCGCTCATCTCTAAATTGGATTTTTTTTCTAGCAAAGACATGTAGCAGAAAACATTTCCGTAATGCAAAAAATGGCCTGGTCAGGAAAAGGGGGTAAATCCTCAGGAGGCAAGATTGGTTAAATTGATGAATTTGCAACTCTGTAATATACACTTTTTGTTAATTTCCTGTACAGCATGCTATGTCACTTATAACAAAGGATGATGTTGATTATGATGAATAAATAAAAATAATATCAAACAACTTACACAAGTAGTGTAGAAGTGGGCAACCACACACTCTTATAGGGACATTGGCCCAAGTGCAGTCCATGAAGGAGATATGTAGAATGTGAAGCAAGCAGCAGATGCACTCTGTGGGACTTGCAACTCGATGAGTGACGTAATTTATATCCATTCAATCACTCCTAATACCAGGCAAGGTTCTCCACATTTTATGCAAATGAATGAATGGATGAATATCAGTCATGATGAAATTCTGTAGACCGAGTCGTGTGCAGGCATGTCCACTAATCTAATGTGTATTTTCTTTTGTCATTACAGATTGTGGTCCTATCACCTGATCTTATTTTAAGGTTAGTTTGTTTTCCAGTGCAGGTTGAAGAGTTTAAGATAAGCTGAGTGTTCCTGTCAGATGAATATTGTGCAATGATTATGAGCAGGTGAAAACTAAGTGAGAAGGTAATATGATAGCAGAAAGGAATACATAGGTATTATGATTTCCAAATAGAAACAGAACTAGGCGCATGTTGAAGATAATATCTGGATGTTCAGCTCAAAATAATGTAAAGATTGAGTACAACTGATGTATTTCTGTTATGGGAAATAAAAAATATTTGCATTTTCTATATTTATAAAGAAAGGGTACCGCTTACTAAGCACCAATGCACAATGTTGATGGGCACCAGGCTCCTGGGCAGGGGCGGACTGACCATATGGAAACTCGGGCACTGCCCGAGGACCCGGGGTCAGTAGGGGGCCCAATCAGATGCCCCTGGTACCTTTTTCATAGGCTTTTTGAGTTTGGGCAAGAACACAGGGGCCCCATGATCCCCTATTGCCTGGGGGTCCCATGAGTTGTCAGTCCGCCCCTGCTCCTGGGCACCCTAGGGATTACGTCAAAATAAATTCTGGTTAAAAAAAAAATGTATTACAGTTTGTATTATTACCTACTATTTGGCCTCGTTTGTTCTCCATGGTCCCTCTGTAAGTAGGAATGTAGCCACTCACTCGATTGCTCCTGAGGTGGACTATGGGATTTGTAGTGTGCATAGAGCAGAGCACATGACCACAACTAACATGCACTGCTTGTTCTAAATAAACAGAAGTGAGAACGGTAAGAAACTACAAATTGAAAAATAGATTACAGGATCATTAAGTAGTAAATGTGTATGAGCTGATCACATTTACAGTATATGTAATACAAAAAGCGATATTTTGTTAAGACCTTTTTTAAGGTAGAGTAAAAAAATCAAAACAACTCTATTATACTAGTGCAGAGGTTGCTGTTGAGCAGCCGAGTGTAATGGCTGCTCCCTTAACTTGGCTCTTCACCTTCCAGGCACACATCCCATGCCACAACAATCAGAGAGGCGCCGTCCACTTCCAGACCTCTCCTCCCGCTCTTGTGGCCCCATAGACCAGGCAGGGACCGAGCAGCAGAGAACGGGGAGCGCCCACACACCAGCACCAATTCCCGAGGGAGCCGGCCGGAGCCCATGAGTAAGTGAAGTCTGCCATCATCCCACTGGTGCTCAACTCCTCCGCTTGCCCTTCCCATAGGCTGCGCCTGGTCACCCAGCACGGTCTGGTGCTCCCAGTGGACCTCCACAGCTGCCTACTCCCAACGAGCGGCCAACAGTGGCCGATAGTGGGACTGTGATCCTGCCTCCAGATGAACACCTTTAATTTAGCCCCAGGCTTTCCGACATCCGGTGGTCTGGTAGGCCTTAGACGTATAGCAAGACTACAGCCCGGAACGGAGGGCCAACGTCCCTGAAAGGGGACCCACTGGCTATACAGGAGAGGGTCAGCCATCTCCCTTAGGCCCCCTGCCTATGCCTGTCTCCCCCATTGGGGCTTTCAGAAATCCGGTCTGGCCTCCATTCCTTGCCGCAGCACCATCGAGGAACGGCTTACTTCCACTCCCCACTTTGCACCTGAAGCGCACGTCTGAATTGAGGGGCTGACAACATGCTGATTATCGTGGCCTTTTGTCAGCCCTGTTATCTAGCAGGCTCAGGGAGAAAATCTTACGCAGCCATCTCAGCCCCACCGAGGAATCATATCATAGGGACCATGGGGAAAAACTCTCTCGCCACCCCAGCTAAGCCAACTAAATCACCGGCAAGCTCCTCTAAAACTTCAACTAATCCTATTAAACCATCTCAATCCAATCTGGCCTCCCCACAACCTTTGCCTGAATACCGTTTTCTTTCCCAAGAGTCTGAACCCCATTTAGATGACTCTTCTAATGACAGTTTCCCAGAGGTACAAAATGAAGAACCTTCTGAAACAACGATCCGCGATTCAGCCCTACTCGAGAAATTTAAACTCCTTCTCCAAACGGAATTGAGCACAGCTACGGAACAACTCACCACCAAGATAACACATAAAATCAGGGACATAAGTTACCGTATTGATGATCTTGAACATAAAATGGACAATGCTATCCTGGTGATTGACAACCACGAACAAGATGTCAATACAATTAAACTAAACCTCTCCTCCACTCTATAAAAACTTGAAAATTTGGAAAACTTTAGTAGGAAAGGAAATGTCTGGATCATAGGCCTCCCAGAAACCATCGAATGCCTGACTTCCATGGATACTGCATTGCTACAGGAGCTCATCCCAGGAATCCCAATCGAAAGATTAGAATTTGACAGAATCCACAGAGTCCTGGGCCCAAGAAGACCCGATGGTCCTCCTCGCTATATTATCATCAAACCTACCTTCTACAAAACCAAAGAGGTGGTCATGCAAGCAGCTTGGTTAAAAAGAGACCTGATCTTTCAATCCCATAAATACCAAATATTCTCTGACCTAGCCCCTCAAACACTTCAACAACGCACAGAACTGAAGCCTTTTGTTCAGGCACTACCAAGCCACCACATTAAGGAACGCTGGAATTTCCCATTCAAACTAACTTTCTCCTTCATGGTCACCCTCACACCTTTTTCAACCCCGATGAAGCTCAAGAAGTCCTTACCAGACTACAGCTTCTACTTCCATCCTCCATGGGTTTGCAGGCTTCACAGCCCCCCCCCCCCCCCCCCAGACGACAACCAGCTCTGAAACAACACATACTGACCCCCCCACCAGAAATTCCGGAAGAGGACTGACGGTTCCCTGCATCTCAATTTTGGAACATTCTCCACCTGAGAAGGCTCTCCTATTCAAGAGCTGATATGCCTTCAGATTCACCAACCACTCGAATTTAAACATATTGACTCTAACGTTTGTCTAATAGACTGCAAGGAAGAGTATCCCACCCTTTTTTTTCATTCCCCCTCCCCCCAACCCCCCCTTTTTTTTTCTTCCCTCTCTCTTCCTCTTGTCCCCCCCCACCCCATTCTCTTTTCCTCTACATGGTCAGGCAATTGAGCATTAGCTCCCCTCCTAATATTGTTTGATATTACTTCACAATGTGTGCCTAGGAGGTTCCTAGAGACCCCCCACTATGGCAGTCCCAGTACCCACTGCCTTTGATTGCTTAGACAATCCCTTTCCTGACACCCTCGTGGGTGAGCCTGCTACGCTTTATGTTCTTGTACCTGTTCTTTTAGCTTTCCCTTCTTTTTTTTTTTTCTTCAGGACTTCGAGACACCTGAACATATTCTCTTTGAATTTCTATAATTTACCCTCAAGTTTTTCAAGAGACCTTTGAGGAAAAATGGAGAGGTGTCCTTGTGGCATTTCAAAAAACATCCCCTTTATATGCTCTCTCGAAATTGCAGACCCTACGGGTGGATACTTACTGTTACAAGGGTTGATTATGAATGTCGATGTAACTATAGTTAACTACTACACATCCAATGCTTATCAATCTCATTTCTTCTCCCATTTGCTGAGGGTATTCTCCTCACACAAGAAAGGCACCTTGCTCATGATGGGAGACAACAATTTAGTGTTGAACAGACAACTGGATCGTTCCCCTCCAAGTGACCCTCATCAAGATTCCACTGAGGCGGCCTCACAAACAAAAAGATTTGCAGACCTTCCATCTGAACATGCCATGGTGGACACTTGGAGAGAGTTCAATCTTGGAACACGGGATTTCACCTAGCACTGGGCACCTCATAACTGCCATACTCGCATAGACCATTTTCTCCTCCCTCAAGCTTTCCTCCCCGATGTTCTTAATGTTAAGATGGAATCAATGTTCCCCCTGCGCTTATATATATGGACCTGTACACAGTATTAAAGCTGCTAGCACCTTAATCCTTTACCTATAGGTGTATATGCCAGATAACATAAAATATATGTGGTGCAGGTGTGATCCAAAAGGCGCATTGGCCCATTGGGTCGTATGATGGAGGTGAGGGGGCATTTTAGCCATTGAAGGATCTGTTTGGTGCGCACACAACACTGCACCATTTGCATGACCAAGGAATAGCGAAGCACCTTATCTGAGAACATTTTTTTGCACTTTATTGGACGTTTATTTATGATTGTTTTTTTCACTATATATTTTTTTTTTTTTTATATTTTTTGATTCACATGTGAATATTTTATGTGTTGTTCATTTTAAGCACTTGTCACTTTGATATTTGATTTATGATTATCCCACATTTGGGATTCATCGTTTATACACTTGGTGTATGATCATCATCCCATTTTGTGGGATTGGGAAGTTTGTTGTTTTATCTCACCATATA